ATCAGTCTCAATCGCTCTCTCCCTTTTATTCGACAAAAACGCTGCACATTTTGGTGACGTTACATGCGTAAAAATGTTACTCTCATGGGCCTAAAGAAGTTTCACTTCAAAAATGAATATGCCTTGTCTATATGAACGCGATAAACTACATGTACTTGTTATAATAGATACACCAACTGTTACACAAATAAGTTAATTGACTAAATTAATTCTTGGAGAAGTCGGAATATAGCCAAATACAGGTCAAGTACGCTGGGAAGACTGTATTAGAAGCCGAGCTCGACAATCAGTAACACTACCAACTTTTGTATCCAGAAAAAACTATCAACTTGAGTTTGGGCTTCAGATTTATATCTGTTCCCTAATTCCGCAAGAAGGTGATCAGCCCTACGTGCCTTTCAGGGTTTACAGCAAATTTCCTCACGATTTCCATCTACTCCCGGCTCCAGTTGGGGTCGTTCAAGTACTACGCACTATGTTGGGGGGTGTCTTTGATTTTCTTACTTGGTAATTACGTCAACAGTAATTACTTACTTTTTTACACATTACTCACACATTGTCTATGCTTGAACACGAAATGCATTTCCAAGGATTCCTACAAAAAATTAATACGTTTATGTACTATTATTTTTGAGAGCTTTTCTTACTTTTGCTGACAAGAAGTAACGCTGCTTAGGTAATACCTGAACGGCTCCAATTATACTTAAAATGTTTATTACATTAACTGTAGTTGATATAAATTTAATTAAGTATGATATGTACGATACAGATAACATAAGAATTGACTTTGGCTAATAATGTCAAATGTCAAATTTCTTAAGACTAATTTGCGCGCCATTGTGTGTGGCAGAATATGCGAACTTACGATTGTACCACCTTACACATTTTTGTACCATATTCTTGCAATAAATAAATTATTATTATTATTAGAAATCAATTGGACATTGTATTCTTCGATTACCAAATAGAGGCCTTCTGTTACATGTATAATTGTTTTCGGTTGTAAGTTTCCTATACATAATTGCAAAGATTGCGACCCTCCGACCCAGAGATAAAGGCGCCAATGTCATACCAAAGACGCGACGTCCTCTAGGATGCACCTGACCTTTAATAACCTCTGTTTATTCTAATACGGTCAATTATATGGTCAAAGTCAAATAATTACAATAAAATTTACTATGTTATTATTTATTAATTAACAACGACTACACTAAAGCATTCAAAACATTCTCTTACCAATTGCAACAACTTAAATAGATTCTACCTTCATTTAGTTTAATAAACAATAAAAATGAATCAACATCTAACGACACACAACTTAACCAATTTCTTAATGACACAAGAAGGAACTAGCGTTTAAGATACAGGCCAGGCCTAGTTTAAAAGTGCTCATAGAAGTATATATAAGGTTAACCACAATGAATATTGTATCTCAACGATTCGTAGCATAGTGTATGTTAACAAGCTTTTAAATGTAAGTACAAAATGTAATGTTTTTGAGTCAAAAAAAGTAATTATTTAATTAAACACATTGAATAGTTTTTATGTAAAATAAAAAATACTATTGAGAACTATTGTGTAGGTATGCTATCCAGCTGCACTACTGGTCTATATGGCTCCTAGCATATTGTTTCTTTTTATTCCTTATTTCTTTGCTTGACAGTTTGGAGGAAGCCTATACTCAATAAGAGGTCCTTGGAAAAACAAATATATATATATATGTATGTATTTTGTGTATGTGTGTATATTTTGTAACTTTTTGTAAATATTATTTTGTAAATTTTTCTAGGAATAAATGACGCTTAATTATTATTATTATTATTTATTTGCTCGACAGTTGTCGGTTGTTGATTGTAAAACAGTTGCCTTAACCATCATTATAAGGAAACTGTGTTACACTAAAAAATCAACAATTATTATTACTATACAAGAGTTTACACGACATTTGACATTATTATTATACATGAGTTAATTTAAATAGAAAGGAAATGCAAGAACAGGATTCAAACCAACAGATTTGATAATCATTACAGACCCTAACTATTCTGAAAATGTCCTGAAGGCTACAAGGAAACCACATTAACAAGAATTATCCTTAATGTTGATAATGTTATGAACAAAACACCCATGTACTTCCTTTCCTTCCTTAAATGACAATAACAATACCTATCTTTGAACATGTTACTTGATGTTAATAATATAATTAATATGAAAAAACTTCTTCAATGGGTGCAAATTGAATACTTTAAATAAATTGAATTTCATTACAGGGAAGCTTGTTGGTCACTGTGACAGTCTAAGTAGGTTTCGCATTCAGATGACAGCAAAAAGTCAACCTTTACAGCAATTGTAGTCCGTGAACAATGTATGTAATAAAATGGCATTTATATCCGATAAAGAATCTTAATTTAAATATCTAGTTCTCCCATAATATAAATACAAAGACAATGTTTTATTTAAATAGTAACTGCCATTTTAATTATATATTATAAGAAGTTTATAAATTAGCTCAAAATAATGCCAATTAAAATTTAAAGTACTCACAATTATATTCGCAAACTATGTAAGTATGAGGTAAAATGCAGAGCTCAAAATGAAATTGATGGAGGTTAACTGCTGACACCCTAGGCCACATCCAGAAGGAGATATGAGTACAAGACAAGTACGTCAAAACGAGAGTTTTCTTCCATGGGCCCGAAATGTGATGTAATTAGAAATTGTGTGCTTTTTTCATAAATATTAAATCAGAAAAACGAATATAACAATTAATTTACTATATTTCATTGCAAAGGCCACGTCTTTTTCTAACAAATACTGGTGTATATAATATAGAATATATATTAGGAGTTAATAATGCCAAACATTAAGACTTAAATTTGATTGCATTTCATTCATTTAAATTTTGATGTTATCATGTAGACTATAAATCTTAGTACAATTAGAGCTGGTATAAACTTAATTGCTATGTTAGTAGTGAATAATAGAAAATACCAATCACAATAAAACAAAATTTAAACTAATCTTAGACATTTGTATAATAACGATGAAATCTAACATCATATAACAATCCTGTACTATATATAATGCCAATAAATGCTAGTTTAATCCTTTTTTTTTAAATTGGGTAGCTGGTTTTATTTTCAATTCTTATAGGAAAGAGAAAGTTTACGAGAAATGGTGTTGTAGGCTTCCGTTTGTTATTTTGATATAAAACCATATATAGCGTAATTCATTTAAGATTTATGTATGGAAATATTAGTTATACCAAACAAAAGATCTCAGTGTTAAAAGATATCAGTGATTAGTACGAGTTGCATCATATCATACGATATTAAGTAGGTATATTAAAATCTAGTCACGAAATGTACTTTCACTAACAAGCAAAAGCCGGCTTAATTATCATTGTCACTATCTAACGACAAGGTAAAATATTGAATAATATAGATTATCAAGGAATGTAATCAATCAATCGTAGCAATAGTACTATCAAAAGTTGATAATTTATCAAAAACGACCCGCTCCGATAAACATAACCTAAAAATATATTTAAGTCTCACCTGCAAAACGCCTTGTACTGATATCGGTTGTTATTCTTCAATGCACTATCTCTAATATAAATAAAACTTGTACGATATCACAACGCAAAAGATAAATGGGAATTTTGCAAATTGCAACTTTCACAAAATATTTCCGACTTACGTGACAAATGACAATTGACTATTCCCAAATTCAATGTCGGTATTAATTTGATGATTGACTTAATGACACAGGTAAAACAGATCACATAACTCCTTTCATCCTGAAAATAAATAATGAAATAATAATAACTCTAAACTGTCTACTATATATTTTAAGATAATCATGGATTTTCCTTATAAAAAATTATGGTTATTCAATATTCAGTTAAAAGATGAAACGTGGTTACTATAGCAGCTGTGTAGAGGGCGCCTAAGGAAGCCTGTTTTTAAATTAACTGTCACTAGGTAGAGCCTCTAGGTTCAGACTTCCTCACATCAGTATTTTTGAAGTTATACTTCTTTAGGCGCGTTATGAAAAATTGATAAGTGTGAAATTTTACGATGCGCGCGCACCGTGACACAAAATTAACAGAATGAAGTTGCCCACGGAAGATGCTACGGCATTGGACATAATTTAAAAACAACATTCGAATAATAATAGAATTTATGTTACACTTAATGTAAGAGAATAATAATAAATATTTATTTATTTAATTTTTCAAATGTAAACTGAACTTTATTGACTATAATGACTCCTTTTCCAGTCTTTGATTATTTAATTGTAATTAATTGTTTGCATGCAATCAAAAACTATTTTTAAGAATGCCAAAGAAGTATAACTTCTTACGCGCGTACATAAGTACCTACACGCACCCTTTTTTTAATTAATAGCCTTATTTTTATTTAAACATAATTGTACGTAATTTTGTTATATGTAATATTATCAGAATAATTGTTTTTGGATTGCTTGCAACCTGTTGCTATAATTTTTTATTGTCTATAAAGAAGAAAATATGTTCTTAACATGTCTTACTACAAATAAAAGATTGAGCCAATTATTTATGAGCAAATTTGTTTTAAATTCTATCACTATTTACCCATTACGCAAAATAATTTTTTTTTTTTTTTTTATTTTTAATATTAATTTTTACTAGCATTTTAATATTATATTCTATTGAAGTGATGTAACTATCACTTAGAACTCTCTTTATTTTAATTTTCAGACACATAATATGAACAATAAACTAGACATAAACGAGTGCGTACTTTTGGGGTTTAACACTGGATAAATTTTGTACTGGGAAACTTCAAAATTCAAAAATCATTTAATCATATAGGTAACACATTGTACACTTATGACTCGTCAGTAAAAAAATTTAATATTTAATCACTCATTCAAATATCGTGAGCAATAATCTAAAGATCTATTTGCTAGTTAGTTATAAAGGAGTCAATGAAAGAATTAAGTGAATTAGCGAATTTTTATTCAGCGCGCATGCAGCGGTCGGAGCAGCGTTTTAAACAGTCCGGATCGTTTCTACAGTGGGCACGACAGCTCGCTTGACAACGTGTTACAGTACGGACATTGCTTCTAGGATAGCGCTCGTCGAACATTATACTAGAAAAAAATATTTATTTACACTTTATTACCTTATGAGCAGTTTGGCCTAGTGGCTTCAGCGTGCGACTCTCATACCTGAGGTCGTTGGTTCGATCCCCGGCTGTGCACCAATGGACTTTCTTTCTATGTGCGCATTTAACATTTGCTCGAACGGTGAAGGAAAACATCGTGAGATATTATACTTGTTAACTAGGCTTTATTTAATTAAAATAAATAAAAAATACTAATAATAAATAATATATGAATAAATGAATTTTTGACTTTTGCCTTTGACTTTTGACGTTAACTTTTGACTTTGACTTCTGACTTTGACTTTTGACTTTGACTTTATCTTTTGACTTTGACTTTTGACTTTGACTTTTGACTTTGACTTTTGACTTTGACTTTTGACTTTGACTTTTGACTTTGACTTTTGACTGACTTTATCAGCAGCTGGTTCCACATAGTGGCGACAAAAAGTGCTTTAAAAACGCTCAGTTGTGGAACGACGGACGTCGAGGTGGTACGGGTAGAATTTTCCATGCCTCGACGTCTGATGATGCTCCCAGATTAGTTCTAGGTCGTAATTCTATAAGATGAAATTCCTCCTGTTTTGTAAATAAAGTATACCTGTCAATAAAAGGCACAGATGTGCAGGTCGCGGCGTCACAATGCAGAACGGGTGGAGCGACACTGGCCAGAAGGGATCCATCTTCACCGATCACGTACGGTATGTGGTCGATATACACGTTGTCAAACAGACACAGCCTTTTCATATATTCCTCGGAGTGTGTGAACATCGTTGGCGGTACACCTTTAGAAATTCAAGAATTCAGATTATTTTTGACAAGTTAGGCGTCAATTGGAAATTGTTCCTATACGATATAAAAAAATTAATAGCGCTGCAACCTTTTTAGGCCTGGAACTCAGATTTCTGTATCTGTTTCATGATTATTTGGTAATCTAATAAGCGAGTAGGTGACCAGCCTTCACGATTAGGGCGCTCATCGTTTATTTGCTAAAAACAAATTTTTATGTATATTTATGATTAGGAGAATATATATCTACCAAGTTGCAATTTGGTTTTTAGCAAACAACCGATGAGCGCAGTAATTCTGCAGCCGGATCTCGTACTATTCCAACATTATCAGATATTGAATGGCACTAAATCGAGCCGTTTCTAACACAGGCTTCCCACAGACACAAATTTACTTTATTTTGTCTCATCCGTTAGAGCCGTCAGTGTCTTACGGTGATGCGGATCAGAAGGAAAACTGGAAGTCTTCTACGGTTCCACACAAGATATTTTCTTTTACAAACTAGCGAACTGTGGAATCGATTCCCGGTGAGGTTTTGCCCTGGGAGATGCGAGCTTCAGCCAGTGATGTAACTACCATCTGGAGCCCGTGGCAAATTCTTTTGATCAGTTATCAGTAATCAGTAAAAATCTACATTCACTCAGTTCAATTTGAATAAACTTTGAGATTTTCAGCGTACAATTACACGTTGTATATGTCCCACTAATGTCCATAGGCCTCCTCTCTTAGGCGAGAGGGATTGGTCTGCAGTCTCCACGCTAGCTCAATGCGTATTGGAGACTTCACATTCATCCATAGAACATAAAATCTCTTGGGCAGGGGCTCTCTTAGATCGGGGGCCCGTGGCATTTTACCAGCCCTGCCGCCCTATTGTTACGCCACTGGCTTCAGATGTTTAGAACAAGAGTATGCTCATCCTCAAATGCTGGCTTTAAAATGGGTGTCCCAGCTGCCCTCTATGCCGCTATGCTATAAGAAAACTTTTTTTTTGGAAAATATACGCACCGACAGCATAATATCTAGTATTACACATATGTTCCTGTATCAGCTCTGAACGATTGTTGAACCATCCGATAAGCCACTTCAGGTCTTCAAACTTGGTGATCTCATCATTGATCACTTTGCGCGTGAGTCTAAGGTATTCCACGTCAGCTTCTATCACCGATTCGTCCTTGTCTTCGCCGTAACTGAAACAAAATTATCTCATTTTCAGGCAACACACTGGCGAGCCCTCTGGCAATGTGTGTATGCATGGTTTTACTCAACATCAGGTGAGCCTCCTGCCCGTTCATAGTGGGTCATAATAACTATAAGATTAATATACATGATATGACATTAAAATAGATTTTTGTAGTGAAACTTCTTTAGGCGCACGAGGGTAAAACTTTTACGGATGAAACGCAATAAAAATAATATTAGCGTCACGAAGCAGCGTTTCTGTCTAAGAATAGGGAGAGAGCGATTGAGACCGATTGAGAGAGTGAGAAAGGGCGAACGTTGCATGAAGCAAATAGCCATCGAGCGAGAGTAAAAACAAAAAACAAAAAAAAAACAAAAAACAAAACAAAAATTTCTTTATTAAGTAAATAGTCTTAAATCTATATTTTAGTACATCCCTTTTAGGTTCAAGAACCTGTGTTAGGGATGAACGCTCTTTCCTATATGTTAATACTTAATCTACTTAATAAAGCAAAACAGTAAAGGTACTTAAATGGTTAATTAATTATATTACATACTTGAAAAACCAAATTACTGGCGATTGTTGATATTAAATCGTAATAACTAAACAAGTGAGGTAGATTGAAATCAATCACACCATCGTCTTTCTTTTAATTGTGTGAGTGAGACATGAGTGTAACTGTAGTGCAAACTCAGACGAGTGTAGTCCGTATGTCGTGACCAGTGCAGGTTAGTACAGCGTAGCATGTCTCTTATCAGCAGGATGATGCGACCACATAAAGTATGGAATACTTTAAATAATTATAATATAATATAATATTATAATATTTTATGCGGGAAGTAACCTAACTGAATCGAATGGCTACGATATTATAATACTACATAAGATCGAATTAATATTGAACAAATATACCTAATAAAATAAGGTATGAACAATATACACAATAATATGTAATAACGAATAATTAGCACACGCTTTTTTTTTTTTTTTTTTTAAATCATCTTGTAATTTGGATTGATTTTTGATATATATCTATTTATTCAACTTCTACAAATAGATCTTCAGTTTGTTGATAATTTAATGTTTTTAGCCACGTAGTTACTGTTTTTTTACACTCTTTAAACGTCATAGGGTATATATTTAGGGTTTTGTTGTACATTCTTGTAGATTGGGTCGCAAATTGTTTCGAGGCAAAAGTTGTACACACGGTTTGAGATTTTATTATATATGAGCGATTTCTTTTGCTTAATATAGATATGTCAAACGGGGTATTTTTGTGGACTTTAAGTATGCATTGAAGTATGTATAGTTGCCTAACTGTTAGGAGATCTGAATCTTTATAGAGTTTTTCTGTGGAATATAGTTTACTCTTGCAAAGCATTATTTTCAAGATACTTCTCTGCGCACGTTCAATGCTCACAAATTTTGATTTAAATGTGCCGCCCCATATACTTATGCAATATAGAAGAACAGACTGTACTAAGGTTTTGTAGATATACATAATAAGCTGTAAATCACAAATGTTACGAAGGCGTTTAAAAATCCAGATCAGCTTCCTAGCACGTTTAGCTACTACATCGATTTGAGGGTACCAGTTTAAATTTCTATCTATAATAACTCCTAGATATTTTGTGGTTTTAACTCTCTCGATCTCGGGACAAGTACAATCTTGAGGTACATCGCATACATGAGCCTTTACTTTTAAATCAATATTTGGTTGCAACGAATTTCGTATAGAAAACGGGACATAATTTGTTTTACTTAAATTGAGTGACAGCAAGTTAATTTTTAGCCATTCGATAACAGTGTTCAATCCCGATTGAACACTGTTATCGAAGGAGCAAGCATGTTAGAAAGATCGAGAGAGAGAGAGTGAGATAGAGCGAACGTCGCATCACGCACAGTGCCAGAATGGAGCGAGAGGTGGGAGAGTGCTATAGTGAGAATGATTGAGAGAGAAAGGGAGATCGAGAAAAAATACACGCTATTGGTTGATGTATTCGTTTAGTTGTTACATATTAGAACTTTATATGGCAATTCTGTCGCATAACGTCTTGTGTAGTAAACGCAGATTTTTAATTTATTTATATCATCATTAGCACGTATACAGTGTGTCAACAATGTGAATATAGATATACAAAAACATGGAGTGATCATATACTGATACATGATCATCTATTGAGGCTTTTACCTTAGTAATAATTAATTTACAAAGAAGTTTCACTTCTGACATGTGTACTTTGTACGCACGCACTTTTGCACGCCTCACGGAGCGGAGGCAGTGCTCTACTCTCGACATGTCAAAAAACCCAGTCTTTCGAAACTTGAATGACTTTTTTCTCACTAATATAACACTTACAGGATAATATGAGTGCACTAAAATCGAGTTAAATAATCTATCAAGCACATATGGTATTTTTTATGAACAATTATTTTGTTTAACATAGTAAATAATAACATTAAAATCAATCATTCTTGAACGTCCGTCAGTCTGTGTTTATGGATCCATGTATGTGGCAGAGAAATTGGTCGAAAAATTTATCGTACCAGAATACTTTTTTTCTTATTATATAAAGTTATACCCTGGGCTGATTCCTAGTTAATATTAGCGTTCTAAGTACTGTCGTTTAATTATAATTTGTAAAAAACTAAAATACGACTGTTCCCCACCTTAGAGTTATGGCGCCACTAAATATGTATGTTTTAATATTCTTCGTAGCGTGAGATAATAATTTATTTGTTTTAAAAAACTTGAGTCTTTGTTTTAGAATTTTTTTTTAAATGTGAATGACCGCTATGAGGCGTGCACTTTTGGATTTTCCAAACTTTTTTATTATTGTCTTAAGAAGTTTCTTTTTCCTATATTGACATGAGAATACATACTTTCTATATTGCATCTTAAGAATGGCTTCAGACATGTGAATTCGGAATATCACGCCGGGTCTCAGATGGGCCTGGTACAGATCTTTTGGCATCTCAATAAAAGTTGACTCATATTCCTGAAACAGCATATTCCAGTTAAAAATCGGATCTCATACATTTAAAATCCACGGCGTCTACCACAAGTGTGTATGTTTGTGAGATCACGACCATGAGATCAAAAACCTTTTAGATCTGGCCTGCGATTTCTGTATCTCCGAATGCGAAAACCGCTGTGTGAGTTCGAAAAGTGAGTTACAGAATCGCAGGGCTGGGCTATAGATTTCTGTATCTGTTTTGTATAGACAGTGGTGATCAGCCTTCGATGGACACGCCATCGACTTTTAGGGTCGCACCCGTACGAGCGTTTAGGTAATCATTTAAAGCATATTTTAAATGATTTGGGACTAATAAGAGCGCTTATAGACGTCCGTTTTTTTCACCGGATAACGGACCGTCAATCATATGTTTCATGTTCTCATCATCCTCGTGAATCACTTTACGTTGCGTTTTAAAAAATGGAAGGAAATTTTTAAATACTATTTTTACCACAAAAAGATAACATGGAACATATAAAAATGTGCACAGAGCAATACAGAACAATTATTATTTCTTTGTTCGCCTGGAGGATGGGACGGGCATTGCCCAGTCTCACCTCCCTCGGAAAAGCACAAAAGCTGGTGCGACCACAGAGCAGGCGCAAAATAATAAAAGGCTAAAAAGCGATAAGTCTTAAACTCAAACTCAAAATATCTTTATTCATATAGGTAAACAAGTACACTTATGAATTGTCTAGTTAAATTAATTGTAAATTTACATTTACCACCAGTTCGCAAGTCAAGTGCGTAGAGCGGGTAAGAAGAACTGGCAAGAATCTTTTCGCCGGTCTTTTTAATCGCCAAGTATTGAGTCATACAAATTGTTTGAACTGGAGCAAATTAATCCCAAGGATTAGGATCATTTAAATATTCGTCAAATTTATAAAAAGCTTTATTGATTAAGTTACGTTTAACGAAACTTTGAATTTATTTAGTGATAATTCTCTTACATCAGGTTAGCCACCTATCCGTTTGTATAGACATATATATATATATATATATATATACTAGTGGAGCCCACAGACGTTGTCCTGCATGATATTTAAAGCGATTAGGATATTGAGCAAAGTATGAAAGTACCGACTGCAGTGCCATCTGCCGGGCTGATTTGTGAATCTAAACCATTCCCAGATCCCCTTGAACACACACAAAAAATTTCATCAAAATCGGTCCAGTCGTTTGAGAGAAGTTCAGTCACATACACACGCACACAAGAAATATATATATTAAGATATATATATGATGATTTTTAGTAAATTCTGACACATTAAAAAAAAAAACATCTGAAACAATGTACCTTCGCTGGTGGTTCATAAGTGTCATATTTTGGTTTCTGTTGCTGCCTTCTTTTCTTCTTTCTCTTCTTCAGCTGTTGCGAGTCCCAGTCATTACTAGCACGACGGGCTATTGGTATATCTGTGGTAGTCCCGTTACTCATCTGTCAAAAGCACATTATGGATCTGAAATCTGGCCCCTTACAAAAAAATATGTGCAAACCAAATGGTCTATACATTTTTACTTTCTTTGAACTATGACCAAACGGAAAATCTGCTAGATGTATTAAAATAATTTCCACATATCATGGTCTCAAGCGTGTGCCTGTTACAAACCCACACACACCCTCCCAAATACTCACACACACACACACACACACACACACACACACACACACACGTATACACCCTGTTTTCTTAAAGTGGTTGCCTGGAAGAGATCGCTTGAAAGCGAAAAGGGAGTTGCTCTTCTTATTTTTTTAATTAGGTAGTTTAACTAATTAATCAACGTGTATTTTTTGTTTTGTTCTTGTCTTTGTACTGTCATAGCAATAATAATAATAAACTTTAAAGTACTTACATCATGATCTTCTGTGACAGCTGGAGTGCTTCTAACTCTGTTCTTTCTTCTGCTGTGACCACGTCGTCGCTTAAATAAAACAATTATAATGATTTTTTTAGTTTCATTCGGTTGTCTGGTACTTGCTGCCTTTGAGCTTTTTAAAACTTTTTCAAGCGCCAATAAAACGAGTGAAAGCGCTCCTTTGCAAAAGAGTAATAGTAACCGAAGTAATAGATTAAGTGGTTAGTATACACACTTTAATAAAACGAGGGCGGCTGACAGAAAGTGTATACTCATAATTTATTTCAACCCCCTCAAAACCAGTTTTGAATTAAGAACACCAAAAAATAAAACAACAAGTAATATCCGACATTTATTCCTCAACATCCTTCGGCTCTGTCACAGAGTCGACAAAAACAATAGAGTTGCATTCCGACGCGTCACACTGCAACACAGGCGGCACTTCCACAGGCGTCACGGAGTATTCATCGCCGATGACATAAGGATTGCCATCGATCCACAGAGCATCGAACAAGCAGTAAATGTGCACTTTTATCGTCATGTAGCTTATGAATTTGTAGATTCTTCCGCCGCACTCGCCCAGATGCTCCTTAATGCTTTTATCCGTTTTGTACATAAGCAATAGATTGTGGAACTTCGTGATTTCATCCATGACAACCTTTTTAATCAGGTTCGTGTAGATGATATCAGCTTCGATGTGGCGTTCGGGATCTTCGTACATTCGTTGCTTGATTCGGAGGATTGCGTCAGACATTCGCACGCGGAATATAACGCCCGGGTTCATTGTTTCCGGGAGGATTCCAGGCTTTTTCGTTGATGTTGTGAATTCTAGAATTCTGTCTTTAACTGGCTCGGGGTATACGTAGTGGTTGGGACGCTCGCGGAGTGATGGCCCGCTGAGTGTGTTAAATCTTCGGGTGTTCTGAAAATTGTTAGCATTTCATTGACGGCATAAGCGGATCCAAGTTTTCTTCGAGGTTTTTCTAGATTTCAATAAAGCCCGGGTCAATCCTAGAGATTGATTTAGTCTTGTGACGCCTTACATTTTCACTCATTTTTGAAGTTATACTTCTTTAGGCGCATTATGAAAAATTGATAAGAGTGAAATTTTACGATGCGCGCGCACCGTGACACAAAATTAACAGAATGAAGTTGCCCACGGAAGATGCTACGGCATTGGACATAATTTAAAAACAACATTCGAATAATAATAGAATTTATGTTACACTTAATGTAAGAGAATAATAATAAATATTTATTTAATTTTTCAAATGTAAACTGAACTTTATTGACTATAATGAATCCTTTTCCAGTCTTTGATTATTTGATTGTAATTAATTATTTGCATGCAATCAAAAACTATTTTTAATAATGCCAAAGAAGTATAACTTCTTACGCGCGTACATAAGTACACGCACCCTTTTTATTCTTAATTATAGTTATGATAAATTCTATAATTCTGGTAATACTGTTGTTTTAGAAAATTCCGTTTCACTCACAAATTCCCGTTTGATCACAAAAGTGGCTTTTTTATTCATGAACGATTAAATATAGTTTTTAGGACTACATATTTGCGAGTGCGGTGCCAGTTTTTTTTATTGGCGCGTTCTTCCCGAATAACGTTAGTAAAACTTTATTAAGCACTCTTAAACCATTTATATATACTAAGTTTCATAACACCAGGCTGTTACGAGTTACAGACCGTAGTGTTAGTGCCAGAAGAACGTCTTCCTCTTCTTCCTTAATAAATTATCTATAAAATCTAATATATAAAATTCTCGTGTCGCGGTGTTTGTAGTTAAACTCCTCCGAAACGGCTTGGCCGATTCTCATGAAATTTTGTGTGCTTATTGGGTATGTCTGAGAATCGGACAACATCTATTTTTTATCCCCCTAAATATTAAGGGAAGTCCACCCCTAAATTTTTTTTTTAATTTTTAGCTAAATTACTTATTTTTTATTTTTTTATGATACAGCATTAAAAAATACATACAACCCCTAATTTTCACCTCTCTACGTCAACCCCTATTTTTTTATTATAAATGATATACAGTAAAGACCTGTATTATATAAACTAATCAAAGTTAGTGCGAGTGCAAGTGATTAGTAATTGAGGACAATTAGTGCAGGTGTAGGGCAAGTAGTGTCCAATTATTGTTTAGTTGCTCTGTTAGGGCCGATTTACATTATCTTAGTGTTTAGCAGAGTGCTTTAGGATAGTACTTTAGTTGAAACATGTAAACGCTACTTGCTTTAGTACGGTTCTACTTGACTTTCAAGTTGAATCAAAATAGAATAGCTTTTTATTTTTGTTTCAAGTGATACCCCTCCCGCGCCCGCGCAACCCTCGAGATCTTTCCTCGTTGTATGTAAACACGTAATTTAGTAAAATCTTTAGGAGAGTGCACAAGTGCCGTGAAACGCTTGCGTGTTTTTTGATTTTTAAAGATGGCTAAATGGTCGGAAGATACAACTATCAAATTTGTGTCTGAATATGTTATTCACGAATGTTTGTGGAAGTTAAAAACAATTTATACAAAAACAAACAGGCTAGGCATTCGGTATACACTGCCTTAAAAAAAGCTATTTTATTTATTATTTATATTTAGTTTATTTATTTCGAATAAAATCTTGTCTTCTATTTGTTCCATAACTACAGTTAGTATTTTGCGAAGAATAGAGCGTATTTGCCGACGTCGTTGCGCGTTCATTGTGGCGCTGTAATGATACTCTACTGGAAGAAATGTAAACGTTCACTCGCAACGCACTAAAGCACTAAAAAACTTGCCTTTCAAGTTGTACTAAAATACTCTCCTAAACACTAAGATAATGTAAATCGGCCCTTAAGGAAACTCAGTTGTTGATAGTTTGGCAGGCACGCTGCGAGTGAGGGGGAAGGGAGGGCGGACGCGACGTCACTATTCGCAGTTCACTCGCAATAGAACACGCTTCTAATCACTTTACTACGCAGCCAACTAATCACCAGCACTAATCTGTCGCTGTCCACACTTGTTTTCTCCTAATCACTAATCACTTGCACTCGTACTAATCAATGTGAATACAGGCCGTATTACTTGAACCCCTTACCATTCTAATTTCTTTATGATTAGGCATTATTTTATACGTCTATCTTTTTTAGCGACATTTGTACTCTTTACACAACGTTGCCGGGTTAGTAATCTGTAGATTTTCTGTAATCTGTACCTTAGCATGTCTTTTGACTCTGTTGCTGTCACCTTCACCAGTCTTCGCCAAATATTCGTCAAACTTCGAGAAGTCGTAAGGCGCCCAAGGGTCTGATGTGGTGGAACTGTCCGAACCGACCTGAAATGTTCATTTATTATTTATTTAGTAGTTGTAACATATAATAGCGATAGAACGTAATCAGAAGCGGTGATGTCGGATCGTTGACATTACCAAACAAAAGGTTTGATGATGTTCACCTGATGTTAAGTGATACTGCCGCCCATGGACACTCTCAATGCCAGAGGGCTCGCGAGTGCGTTGCCGGCCTTTTAAGAATTGGTACGCTCTTTTCTTGAAGTTCTCTTAATGACAATAGCGCTTATATTTTAACAATACAAAATCAGAATGATAACAAAATTCTATGAGTCCTATTTGCTGCAATTTGTTTTAATTTGATTTCGTTTACATGAGGGGTAAAAAATAAGTACATACAACTTTTTTGCTATGGCAAAATGAGCAGGCGTTTAAATTAGATTGCGTGTTGTTCCCACGAGAATGTAAGTGCGTGCTCCTATATCACCATGCCTACTGCTGATAGAGGGCAAATCTTTGTTTTTTATTTTATTTCTTTTATTATTAATTACTTAAGATGTCATGTGGAACATGGCATAGTTGCAGCTCCTTACAAACATTGTGTAAAATAAAATACTTGGCGATTAAAAAGAGTGGCGGAGAGTTTATTGCCAGTTCTTCTCTTCCGATCTACGCCCTTGATTTGAGAACTGGTAGTAAATGTAAAATTAGAAGTACATATTTAAATGTAGTTCTTTTTTGTGTTACCTATATGAATAAGGGTCGATTCGACCAAACAAGAGTAAATCTTAATCTTAGAATAAATCGTCAGTTAATCGAGAGTAAATCAATTTAAAGTTTTACCAACTACAAATTCTAAGAATAGTGGGCCTATTCGGGAATTGTTACTATACCCCCGTTTCCGTGAATAACAGCTATTCCTAGAATAATTTAATGGCGTCAGTCAGTCCAATCATCTGATTTCTGTCATTTCACAAATATGTATTCTGTGTTTTCATTTCAAGTCAACGCAACGCACTAAATTAATAGTCTGGCATTGTATAATGAAACGTGAAAATTATTATTTATTTATTTATTTTTCGATTTTTTATTTTCTATAATATTAGAATGAAATTCAACTAGGCTCAACAGAAGTTCCTTTTTAGACGAAAGCCTCAAACAAACAACAAATAAAAACTTTTTGTTGTCGTTTGACACCTGCCTACAGCTACTTTTTCACACTATAATACGGCAAAATCTAGTTGACATGATGTATGGTCTTAAACTGTCCCGTTGTAGAACAACATTTATTTGCCGAGTTTTATTTTCGTTCACCATTCTCTTCGCTATTCGCGTATTGTTATTCCTAGCGCAATTATACAATCGATTACGTGGAGAAACGACTATGGATTTACTCGAGATTAAATCATGGAATAGATTATTCCTGGTATAGTTACTCGTGTAAAATTGAAGTTTGGTCGAATCGACCCTAAATGATTTTCATTTGATTTGATTTGAATAGGGTGGAAAAAGTTGAAGGAAGCTTTCTCTCGGACTGGGGCCGCATAAACATAAAATTTTATATACATTTCCTTTTGTATATTATATATCGACGTAGGAAAGCATATTTGCTGTAAGTAGACATATTGCAATTGTTCACCAGAGCCAAAAAACTTAATTAATTTCGGAAAAAAATTAATAGTGTCGAACCTATCCATGATATTGCTACCATTTTTGAAACATATATTTATTTAACTGCCAGTCACCATTTGCAATGTAAACTTTTTATCCAAAGTTACTAAAAGTACGTGTTTGGCTAGTTACAGCATACAGTTTTTTAAATCACAAACCTTTAAAACGCTGTAACTAAGGAAGAAAAATGTACGCGCGGAAATATTATCAATTTACAGGCGGTAAATATGCTGTATGCAGTAAATTTATGTATTTGGGTACTTTCAATTGCAATTCAAGATGTAAGATTAGTTTATAATTATGATTAGATCTAGAAATGCAGTGGGTCATTTGGTAATGTAATGTTTGGTTGAAATAAAATGTCGTAAATGGTAAAAAAAACTAAAACTGTAGGTTCCCTAAGCTTGCTGTAAGTAAACGAATGTAAAAATCACACGCCGCAGAAATGCTGTAAGTAGCGTTAAGTTTTTAAATGGGAAGAAGTAAGTATTTGTAAAGAAACAAAAGCAGTTTTTCTTTTGCTGTAAGTACAAATTGTCTAAAATTACTGGATTTTGGTCTACATACAGCATTTAATCTTGTTAAAAAAAATATAAGTACGGGCGTTTTCAACGGCGTATGTAAATTTTTTTTCATCGTAGAGACACAGGACCCGGAACATTCGATGCGGTTCTGATTCTAATGGCAGTAAAAGTCACTTTAGGTATTTTGTCTACTTACAGCAAATATGCTTTCCTACGTCGATATGAGGACAAATGTAGACATTATTATAAGTCTTCATACTTGAGCAACTAGGTTTTGACTATTACAAGAGAGGACGCCACAACGAAGATTCTTTTTGCATAGGTACATAAGTGCTTCGTCACATGGATATAATGGATAAAACGAACCTTTTCATGTGGTATCTTCTTCGCAGACATCATATTGACGGGTTGGTCGAATATATCCTCTTTTACCTGTAATATTAAATTGATATAATTAGCTGTGGTTCGGTTACTACGAGGATTTTAGATATAGATTTTATTAAATATTTATAGATTTAAATTTATGATAAGTTTCATCAAATTCGTTTTAGTTGGGATCAATGCATTTTTCTTTTTAATTTGACAGATATTTGGGGTTGTGTATTTTTATATTTTTTATTGTATGCCTTTGTTTTTTATTATTTATTATTATGAATATGTTGACATTTCCACCTTATCAAAGAGAATGTGAGGAAATATTTTGAGAGGCGGGAAGACATTGACTTTATTCTTAAAAATATTAAGTTTTCGTTTGTTTAATGTTTAATTTAAGGTTTATTTTTTTTAATCTATTAATTTACTAGATTGATTAATTTTCTTTTTAATTATTTTTATTATTACTTTGTAGGTTAAGAAAATTGTAAATACAATTTATACGTATGTAGCAAAAGTCGAAAAAATATTAACAATAACGCGTAATTTAATCCCCGCCCCGCATCGTAACGTTTTACAAAAGGAAAAAAATACGTTACGTAATACTTGAACGCTCCCATGAATAAATGAATCATAATTTAAATTGTTATCTGTTTTGTCTTATATCTAAGTGTTTGTATAATATGGATATGTATAGCTAATTACTTATAAATAAATAAATAACACTTAGCGTTAAGTCTGACTCCTCGACGTCAAATATGACAGGATTTTGACATAGTCTCGACTCTGTTGCAGTGACGTAACTATACCATCTGGGGCCCGAGGCAAATTCTTTTTATGGGGCCCTATCAGTAAAAGTCACGTACTCAGTTAAATTTTAACTTCGAGATTTTCAGCGTACTCAATTACACGTTGTATATGTCCCACTAATGGCCAAAGGCCTCCTCTGTTAGGCGAGAGGGAATGGTCTGTAGTCCCCACGCTAGCCTAATGCGTATTGGAGACTTCACATTCATCCATAGAACATAATATCTCTTGGGCATGAGCCGTCTTGGGTCGCGGGCCCGTGGCATTTTGCCAGCCCTGCCACCCTATTGTTACGCCACTGGCTGTTTTCATAAAAAAAAACATTTATTTGCCTAGTATAAACTGCTAAACAGTGGTAAAAAAATAGAACACAAGAACAGAGAGACTTCCCGTTTATAGAGACTGTAAGTAGTCATTGGACACTTTCTTATATTAAATATCGTTGGTAAACAGGACTTAAATTACTTATTAGTTACGCCACTGCCTTGCGATTCTGTAACTCACATTTCGAACTCACACAGCGGCGGTCGCCTGCAGTCGTGAAGCAGTCATTTCATGATTTGGCATTCTGATAAGGCCTGTAGTTTATTGTTTATCAGAATGCCAAATCGTAAAATAACTGCTTTACGACTGATTTGAGCGCGACCGCCGCTGCGAAAACCGCTGTGTGAGTTCGAAAAGTGAGTTACAGAATCGCAAGGCTGCTCTGTTGTCACATGTAGCAATTTAACTTGACACTTACGTCTGGGTAATTGAAATCGAAGCTAAGTCCCGGATCGCCATCGGTTGTAGCCAGGAAAAGCTGTTAAAATAGTATCTGTTATCAAAATCTTCCTATGATGTTTGCCAGATAGAGATCGCAGAATAAGATTTTTGAAGTTATACTTCTTTTAGCGCGGGAAAAATTATGAGAGTAAATTTTTACGATGCCCGCGCGCACCGTCACAAAAATCCGACACCATGAAGTAAGCATAGTCAACATTTTAAAATAAAAGTGTCAATTTCTTTATTTATGTAGAAATATTTTTTTGTGATTAAATAAACTTTATTTAACTAGATAATGGGTTATTATAAAACTTTCAATGTCTTAAATATCTTTTTTCTATTGTTAGTGTCGTTTTTCTACAAACGTAAAATGAAATTGTTGAAAAGATTTTTATCTTGTTACGCCAAAGAAGTGTTAGGCTGCTGCCTCGAATTTTGCGGGCAGCGGGGCGGCGGCGACTGCGGCGCGGGAGCGGGCGATTGCACCTCTCGTTACCCGCCCTCGCGCCGCTGCCACGCCGCTGTTTTCGAGACCCGGTCCATTTGATTATACGCATAAGATCCTGCCACTCCCGCGCCGCCGCTGCTGCCGCCCCGCTGCCTGCAAAATTCGAGGCAGCAGCCTAACTTCTAACGCGTGTACATAAGTACACACACGTTTTTTATGCATTTTAGACTGTTTATATTCTGCCTTGTGTACAATAAACTACAGTACCACATACTTTCTTGGCCGGCGGCTGAAATTGGTACTACCATCATCATGTTGGTGCCCATAATAAATAATTTTACTATCTATCATCTAATAAAAATCCTAGGTATCTTAAAAGATATATTAATAGTAGAGGTAACAAAATCTATCATATCAGTTGTTCCTGTTTGTGTCGCATTTATTTAACGCCCTATCCCAGGACGAATTGCTGTGTCAGTGTCTCGGGGTGGACTGCGGGGCGCAGTGGAGAGCTGGAGCACTGAGGCGCACCGGCCCGTAATAACAATTCGTTATGGAAAACATTAAATTAATGTAATTTTATCAATTTTTTTTCAGAAATGGATTACTTGGCTTGCGATAAAATATATCGTGTAAATTTCAAAATCATGTTCTATATACATTTTCGTCATAAAATGAATTCAAACTGTCAAAAATTGGCTAAGTTTGGATTTTATTCAAGCAAAGTTATTTAAATCGTGTATCGATCTTTCAAAATGAATATAAACTATTCAACTCCACCATGTATTTTTTCCTATAAGTAAGTTTAAATAAGTTAGCCTGCATGACTTCAAATTATTCCCTTTATTTACTGGCTATACTAATGTTCATGACAGCGACGCTCTTGCCGGCCAAGAAAAGTATGTGGCACTATATTTATATATTTGTTAAAAAAATTATATTATTACAGAAAATTAAAATAAATTTAACGTTTGGTTCCTGCGGCAGTGTACCTTTAATGCTGGCAGCATTTCCTTTATACTAACTATTGTTATTATATCATTTCAAATTTCCCTTAACTATGCTCGAACCCCAACCTATATCTTTAAGAACAGCCAAGTAATGAATGTTTATCGCAGATTTAAATTTCAAAAATCTTTTTTAGTTTCAAAAATCTTTTTAAATTTCAAAAATCTTTTTAAATTTCAAAAATCTTTTTAAATTTCAAAAATCTTTTAAATTTCAAAAATCTTTTTAGTTTCAAAAATCTTTTTAAATTTCAAAAATCTTTTTAAATTTCAAAAATCTTTTAAATTTCAAAAATCTTTTAAATTTCAAAAATCTTTTAAATTTCAAAAATCTTTTAAATTTCAAAAATCTTTTAAATTTCAAAAATCTTTTTTAGTTTCAAAAATCTTTTTAAATTTCAAAAATCTTTTAAATTTCAAAAATCTTTTAAATTTCAAAAATCTTTTTTAGTTTCAAAAATCTTTTTAAATTTCAAAAATCTTTTTAAATTTCAAAAATCTTTTTTAGTTTCAAAAATCTTTTTAAATTTCAAAAATCTTTTTAAATTTCAAAAATCTTTTAAATTTCAAAAATCTTTTTTAGTTTCAAAAATCTTTTTAAATTTCAAAAATCTTTTTAAATTTCAAAAATCTTTTGAAGTTTCAAACATTTTTATAGTATTGTCTTTGATTGACATAACCTTTACACATTTAAAGAAAAAACTTTTTGACCGGATTGAAGTTTTATTTTATATTGTATTATTATAAATTTACAACTATTTAACATAATTTTAAATTTATCCGACGTTTCGCGTGCTTTACAGCGTGCCGTGTGACGGCAAAAAGTTTTTCTTTAAACATTTTTATACTCACCAAGAAAATGAAAAACATGTCACCCAGTATACAGCCGAATGCTAACTCGCGATTTCTTTAATTGGTCCACAGTTTATCAAACTATAACAATTATTTTGATGTTCGACTATAAAAATTAATTGAGGAAAATAACTGCTTAAATATAACTTTGATTTTGTTCCCTTTGGAGTAGACTCTTGGGCCGTGGGGTTCAAGTGCGCAGGCGTTCATTAAAGATTTAAGTTGGCGCCTGGTAGATAGTATCGGTGACCCATGAGCTGGTGCTTTCCTCGCTCAACGAATAAGTATCGCAATACAGCGAGGAATGCCAGCATTAAAGGTACACTGCAGGGACCAAACTTTTTAAATTTGTTTCATTTTTCTATTTATTAATTTTTAATTATTACTATTACTATGTAGATTAAGAATATTGTAAGTACTGTTTATTTGTGTGTTTAACTATGAAAGTATTTTTTTATGAAAGTAGTTTTTTTTATCTTTAACTATACGTGGACTATGTTGTAAAATGTGTGCCAATAACCAATCGACGGATTGTAATAGCCATCTGTCGATACAAGCTATCCATGGGAGGTCGTATCGGTGTCTGTGGATAGACCTTTGTATGAAAATGACAGTTGACGAAAGCTCGATTTCAACAGTTAATTATTTTAACTTACACCAGTTTTTTAAATAATAAAAAAACTGTTTGTTATGTTTTAAACATACACATGTATATTTTAACGTTATTTTTACGGTTTTATTTACTTTATTTGGTTTACATTGATTATCAAATATGAGTGAACTCGGTAAAATGGACAACAAAGAGTATTTTATCCGTCGCCAAAAATGGATTGTCTTCGTAGGTTTGGTTATTGGGATGCAGATAGGAGATCGATCCACTGTCACGGTCTGATCTCAGATTATTTTCAATCTGAGATTATGGATCAATTATTGGGTTCAGGCATTAGCCTGCTTTTATATAGTTTTAACTTTATTGAAATAATAAGTTACTCCATATCCATTTATCATAAAATATCTATTTAAAATGTTGATGAATAGTATCCGTTAAGGTTGGCATTCAAAAGAAAGAGCGTGGTGTAAAAATAATATAAAAGTTTATTTATTTAATCTTAATACGTATATATCTTGGGGTCGATGCCCTTGCCGGCCATCTTGTCGTCAATCCAGTTGCGAAGGTTGGCTACATCCACATAGACACCTGGAGTTCCATCCTGACCACACCCAATGCCCCACGCGACTATACCACTCTGCATGTATCGGTCTTTCTCGTACTGGAATAAATAAAATATGCAGTCTTTAAAAATCTTAATAGTAAACAGCTAGTTGGGATCAGTTCTGCCAGGGTCACTCAATGGGTATTTAGTTGCTAATATTGCAGGTGACAATTCAGAATTAATTAGAGGATAGATTCAAGACAATAACAAAGAAAACACATGCCTATTTGACCAATGTTTGTACTATGTCTGTTTTCTTTCTGAAATATAGTGCTACAATACGAATTATAAGTTCTTTTATGGTGAATATATAGGTACATTAATCCACTAATAAACTTTTTTTTACTTTGTCATAAATTGGACAAAGAATGAAGTGTCAAAATAACAGAAAATGCGCCAATTGCGTACGGCCACAGACAAGTAGAATTATAATACAGACTATCGCACATTTCGTTATCTTGTATGGAAAAGGAAAAGTGCAATGTATTAATCGCGCCATAAGCGCAAGAAGACCAAAGATAAGTCACATGCCATAGATTAAAAAAAATTACATATAATAGCGTGTAACAATTTAACTGTTTATAATTAAAGTGTCAAATTAACGTTTGCGGCCACAGATAAGTAGAATTATAATATAGATTATAGACTATCAATGTAACGTATTAATCGCGCCATAAGCGCAAGAAGACCACAGATAAGTTTTAGGCCGTAGATACAAAAAATTACATACAAAAGCGCTTAACAATTTAACTATTTATAATGTAAATTAATAAACGTTGCCTTACCGGTACAGGGCAAACGAGTGGCGATCCACCGTCTCCCTTACAAGTATCCTGTCCGTTCGATCCACCAGCACACATAAAGGATGAGTGAAGCTCAAAGAAATGACCAAGACGCGTATTACGTAGCGCAGTTTGACATTGACGTCTTTCTACCACTGGAACTTCCACCTGTAAAAATACAATTTTTCTGAATTAAACAAGAACCTGAGTACAAAATTGGCCGAAGGCTGCTTGATGATGCAGGTAACTTTATAGGGTTGTCTCTCTACTTGTGGTGACTGATGTTAGTTATTTTGACTATGTGTTTGCGTGTTGTTCCCACGAGAATGTAAGTGCGTGCTCCTATTTCACCATGCCTCCTGCTGATAGAGGACAAGTCTTTGTTTTTAATTTATGTTATTATTATATTATTTACTTAAGATGTCATGTGGAACACGGTGTAATGGTTGCAGCTCCTTACAAACGTTGTGTAAAAAAAAACATGGCGATTAAAAAAGAGTGGCGCAGAGTTCATTGTTCAGTTCTTCTCTTGCGTTCTCGCCCTTGATTTGAGAACTGGCACTAAATGTAAAGTTAGAAGCAATTCATATACATTTCCTTTTTTTGACGTTCATAAGTGTACATTGTGTTACCTATATGATTAAATGATTTTGACTTTTTTTTTACCTTTTTCAAAATAACTTGGTAGCGCCCCTCTTTACCGAATTTGTCCTTTCCCCAACCAGACGCTAGGCATTGAGCTCCCGCCGGTGTACGTTCTTTTGGTGGTGGTAGGCATACGATACCGACGTTCAGCGCATACTCCATAGGAGATGAGAGGAATAGAAGAGCAATGTCGTAAAAGAGATTGTCTGAAAATAGTTATTTATTTTAAAATGTGTTGAGCCGGCCCTACGGGGCGAATTGACCGATGCGAATGGCCATGGATGTGCCAAGGTCCATTCCACATCTTTCGTGACCATAGAGGTCCGTGATTTCAATGGCTGATCGCGTGGTGGGATGCGGACAAGTCTACACTGTTACCGTGTCCTGCTTCGGGCGATTGCTGATGGTGCCGTGGGGTTTTAGTGGGTATACACTGCAGTGAGTCCCACATAATACTTCACCACAAGGCAACCGTGCCTCAGGATGCGTAACGCATTTCCCCACGAAAAAAAACAAAACAAGGCCCCACGGGGAATATGGAACATAAGATACAGGTATCACTCCACAGGTTCCACGTCGTTAAATTTGAATCGGTAAACGTGTCTACTCATCGGCAAAGAAGACAGAAGGCCGAGAGAAAACGCCGGCGAAAAAAACTCTCGGTACTCTTTTAAAATAGCAAATCATCAAACAACACTTATTTTAAAACAAATATCGCAAATTTATTAGAAGTAGCCTGTCTAGCACTAGTCCCAGGCCCTTTTATCAACAAGATAATCGGCAACTTTATAGTCTGTTAGCCTTTTTACACAGCTTTTCTTTAATAAATTTATTAAAAGGCAGAGATAAAAGAGCCTCTGGGATTTTATTAAAGAAGAGTATCCCTTTTCCCAAAAAAGAATTACTAACTTTAGATAGTCTAGGGGAAATTGCAGCCTGCGTTTTTTCCCAGTAGTATTAACATTGTGCGTATGTTCTATTCTAACTTATCACTGTTTTTGTATACATACATAATATTTTCATAAATATATTACGAGTGAAAGTATATTAATTTCCTTGTATATCTTTATAAATAACGAACATAAGACTCACTCTTATTAAAGTCCTTGTGAATAACGATTTCAGAGACATCTCTGTCTTGGTAAGGGTAAATCTCCTTCGTGGTCTGGGTGTCCCATTCCCCAGCTCTCACTCTAAATGCTCTTGAGGCGGCTACATAGTGTGCAGCAGTCATAACGACACCTGGATGGATGAGGGAACCTCCACCAACGTAGACGTTCAGCTTCCTGCCTTCTGGATCCTCTGCATTCACTGGCTCGATCCTAGGATCAATATATTCAGAGCTGGGTGTAAGATTATGTGGTGCTCTTGGAATTGATTGCAATGATGCATGTCGTCATGCTATTTATTTTGATCATTAATACTTAATTCAACTTAAAAGAGAAAAGATAAAAGATTTACTTGGCGCCCGTTAGTACCGGTGACCCCAGCCTTGCGATTCTGTAACTCACTTTTCGAACTCACACAGCGGTTTTCGCATCGGCGGTCGCTCTCAAATCAGTCGTGAAGCAGTCATTTTATGATTTGGCATTCTGATAAACAATAAACTACAAGCTCCCACCTTTTTAGAATCGCAGGGCTGAGCTGGTGCTTTCCTCGCTCAACGAATAAATATCGCAATATAGCGAAGAATGCCAACATTAACGCCTTTAGTACACCTACGCGTTCGTATGCGGCTGCGAGTCTTTGCGAAATAATTGCGGTAGCGAAATATCTGCGGAACGTTAGTACACTGCAGTTTTTTCGCAAGGAAATGTCATTGTAGCTTTATTTCTTACCATCTATCCCCGTCTTTTCTTGAATTTTCCTCCATGCCACCTCTTTTTTGTATGCATTTTTGTAATTAAAATGCCCAACTAAATATAATTCGGGATAATTTCGAATCAAATTTAATAATAATTCAATATTTTCGGCTTCCATTGTGCGAAATTCTGTCCTCACTGACAGAACGCGTGGTGACGCATTGCGATGCGAAACTCCGCTAGCGAAACGGCTGCGTCTGTGTAACAGCCATTTCGCAGTTACTTGCGAAACAATACCGACAAGGACGCAACTATTTCATCTAGCTATATAATAGAGCGAGACAAAACACATGCGAAACGTTGCCATACAACTTACAGTTTTTTCGTCGTTTCGCTGCCGCATGCGATTGCGTAGGTGTACTAAAGGCGTAAAGGTACACTGCCACAGACAGGGACCAAACTTTTTAAATTTGTTTTAAATTATTATTATAACTATGTAGTTTAAGAATACAGTAAATACTGTATATTTGTGTGTAATTAAAAAAAATAAAAGTCTTATCAAAGACTTAAGATGACATTCTCAGCCCTTGAATTAGAATGCCAAAATTGTATAAACTGATCCATATTCGTGAATTCCACCTAACACGGGCATTGTTGGATTCCACGTGCGACTCTCATCCGTGAGGTCACAGGTTCGATCCCCGGCTGTGCGCCAATGGACTTTCGTTCTATGTGTCATTTAGCATTCGCTCTAAAGGTAAAAACATCGTAAGGAAACCGGCTGGCCCAGACCCAAAAAGTGGACAGCGTGTGTCAGGCACAGGAAGCTGATCACCTACTTGCCTATTAGATTGACAATCATGAAACAGATACAGAAGTTGAGGCCCAGACTTAAAAAGGTGGTAGCGCCACTGACTTATTTTCATTTTATTGAAATGAAAACACTTTATTGTACCTATGTATTCTGTACATGTCAAATTCTATACAAACTGCACGCAGCATTGGCCAACATATACAGAATTTTACTGGACTTTTATTTAAAGCAATGAATACTTGTCAGCGCACAATATTTATATGATCTAACAGCTAGAATCCTGGGGCAATAATAGAAAGAAGAAAATGAAGAATTTAAACTAACAAAATACCCAAAGAAATTAACTATAATTGAATACTTGATCCAGTATACATGTATAAATAAATAACTAGCATTTTCAATAGTATAAAAACCTATTATATCTAACTTTCACTACTACATTCCCATGCAAACATGCCCGTGCAAAGTGCAAAATCTCCCCGAAAATAGGGAAATATTCTTACTTGAGTATGGCAACCATCCATGGGAATTCCCCGAATTTCGCCTCGCCATCTTTGTCACCTGTGATTCGGAAACCAACGCCATCTGGATTACGCCAACCGCAACCTTCACGCTGTAAAAATATTCAATTTAATTAAAACCTTTGCCAATGTAGTCTGTGAACGAAGTAAATACATCTTATTCTTACGTCATTTCATTTATTCACAAAAATTTTATATTTTAATTAAACCATATTAGGTATCAAGATTATTGTCAAACTATAATTATGATGAGTTTTGGAAAATTAACACAATTGACTTCTTATCCCAAAACAATTTTCTTTCTCACATACTATCTTAACATATTATATAAATTACGCGTCACGTTGTTTGTCAGCCATGGACTCCTAAACTACAGAACCGATTTCAATCAAATTAGCACACCGTGTGCAGTTTGATCTAACTTAAAAGATAGGATAGTTTATATCTTAATTTATACTCGCAATATTATTTTATTGCAAATTATTTGTTTATTATTTGATACAATTCTAACAGATGGCACTGTGTTGAAAGTACCAACGTTTTACATAAGCTACAATTTAATGGCATTACCGCCAAAAAAGCATGGTGGTCCCCATGACTGGTGTTCTCCTACCATTACCCTTCAATCGTTTCCTACTATGTAATATAACAAAAAACTTAGCCACTGCAACGCTTGGCCGAGTCTGCTAGTATAGTATATATTATTCAGTTAATAATTATTATTATTCTCAGGTTATTACTATATGTTACGCTCTCTAATAGATGCTTTTTGAAAATTCACAGCTCATTATTCTTGGGCAATTCGTTTATGATCACCGCCATTAAGTTGTCGAATAGCCAGCCTGACTCCATACTATTGGCTACCTCCCTAACATCTTTTAAAACTCTACTACATAAACATTTAACCATATCCTATCCTGCTCAATCGTGACTTTTGTAATTCTTGCATTTCTTACTCTTTTGTATTGCAGCGCAATTCATAAATCCGCGAGATTATGTATTATTTTAGATTAAAATTGGTGATTCTATCATTTTTTTAAATAATATTTGGCTATTCACTTCTTGCACTTTTCCCATCAAATTATTTTTTTAAGGTTTTCCTCACTAGGGTTGCCTGGAAGAGATCGTTTGTTAGCGATAAGTCCGCCCGTTGCATCCGTGATAATTTTTATGTATTGTGTTATTGGTTAAGCTATTGCATAGATTTTATCGCAGGCTTTGAGTGCGGCGACCGAATCAAGAAATTCCGTAACAAAAATAAAAACTTAACACACGATGACGTGATGACGTAATATAGGTGCAGCCAATACACGTTAGAGCGGGACAGACCGCATACTGCGTCTCACATCGGACTTGCGTGATCGGTGACGTAGCGCAAGCGCGGCCGGTGCAGCCGGTACGCGTTAGAGTGAGACAGACTATATAGGCGTTTTAGTCTGATACTGGAAGAGTGTTAGATTGAAATAATATCAAAGAAAAAAAAATATTGGTTTAATGAAAAAATAAATAAAGAATTATAATTGCATAAGATATTAAAAAATGCTATGCAATAGCTTTACCGCGGCAGTCCCCGAGTGCCACGCGTATTTTTTCTATAAATGTAACTAAGTGTAAATTAATAAATATATTCCTGTGCAGGATATGTTTCATGAGTTTTACATGGTGCGTATATTTTACTTGTTTACATATCTACATTTTATTGATATATTATATTAAATTAATTAACTATTAATTACTTAAGATGTCATGTGGAACATGGTGTAATGGTTGCAGCTCCTTACAAACATTGTGTAAAACAAAAAACTTGGCGATTAAAAAGAGTGGCGAAGAGTTTATTGCCAGTTCTTCTCTTCCGATCTACGCCCTTGATTTGACTGGCAGTAAATGTAAAATTAGAAGCATATGTATTTCTTTTTTGACGTTCATTAGTGTACATTCATGTCATGTCAGAAGGTTGGGAAAGAAAGGTGATAACATAAGACCGGTTGTTATAACGTTTAACAGCATGAGTTACAAGTTACATATTCTGAAAAACAAATCCTGTCTAGAAAATACTCAGTACTACATTAAGGAGGATTATCCGATTGAAGTCCTTAACAGGCGGAAGGAACTCCAAGTCCAGTTACAGAAAGAAAAGGAGAAAGGCTATACTGCTTTTATAAGATACGACAAACTTATAGTATTAAATGGCACATTTGAAAAAGAGAACCCCACCAAGAAGGTACTAGAAACTAGAAAACAACTACAGCCAAAAACAGAGGAAGAATGGAAAATGGGAAACAAATCTTTTTTGAGAGGAGACCAATTGGTGATTAAAAAACTGCAGGATAACCAGCGCGAAAAAAGGAAGAGAGATAAAACTGTATCTCCCAACTTGTCTACACAGAAAAAACAGAACACATCTAACAAGTTTGAAAACACATCGACTAAAACTAACAATGCAGGACAAAAAGAAATATTACAACCAAACATACTACAATATATAGGAAGAGATAGATCGTTTTCGACCTCCGACATTTCAAAAAACTAACAAACACACGCGAGCAACCTATCAACACAAAAACAACAACAACTAAAACCGGAAAAGCAAAACAAATATGGAAGAAACACATTCTAAAACAACCTAATCAAGAAGCCTTCCCACCACGGTTGGTCGCCGCGGGAAGATCAGACCACCACCCTCTAACAAAAAAACATAATATATATATAGCATCCCTCAATATTAGGACTTTAAGAACAGCGAATCACTGAAAAGAGTCGCAAAAGATAGAAAACAGTGTAAAGGGTTAGAGGAGGCCTTTGCCAAGAGGCACACCGAACTCCAAGATATACTGGAGTGAAAATATATTAAAGTTCAGATATATAAAATGACAGAGTTTCGGAATTTAAAGGCTATATTATTATAGTGTACATTGTGTTACCTATATGAATAAATTATTTTAATTTGACATAATTAACACCTAGTTCTGACGACAGCTCTATTGATAGACTGTACCCATGTTGCAATATTCTTTGCGCTCACACAAGTGATTCTTTGAGCAAGTTTCAAAGACACAGCGCTAAGTATGAGCCCCGAATGTCAAAAACGTAACATCAGCGTAGCGTAGTCAGACCGCAGTACTTAATTGTTTTTCAATGAGTTATACGATACCGGTGGGTCAACGGGTGGTGCCGGGGTTATTGGGTCTTCAGGCTTCCTGGTGTCAGGCAATGAACAGCACACGTCAAGGTATGATGGACATGGACCGTCTTGGACTCTGGAAATATACAGTCATTGCTATTGGCTTCAGAAAACCGACTGATTAAGACGACGGTTTTTTTGCGAGTTTTGCGAAATCGCGCACATTAAAAAAAAACGTGTATGTACTTATGTACATGCGTTAGAAGTTATACTTCTTTGGTGGAATAACTTTCTTCGAGCACTTTAGAGGGACGTTTCCCTCTTCGAATTGCATTTTTCTTGTCCATTTTAATGGTCACTTCCAATCGAAACGATATATTATATACTAATCATGATATTTTACAATAAACACTGTTTTTTATGACATAGGAACTGGTTTTCTCGTATAGAAATCATTATTTCAAATTAAATAATAATTTATTATCTATCCTATATCTTATGTTCCATAATAAACATTTTGTTTAACAACTTTATCAGATACATTGAAAGCTCGAATTCCCGGCGAACTCTGAGTTCGTTGTAGTTTGGGCTTTTGGGAAGTGAAAAAACCATATAGCAGTGTTGGCCTGGTGGGTTCAGTGTGCGACTCTCATCCCTGAGGTCGTAGGTTCGATCCCCGACTGTGCACCAATGGACTTTATATGTGCGCATTTAACATTCGCTCGAACGGTGAAGGAAAACATTGTGAGGAAACCAGCTTGCCTTAGACCCAAAAAACGTCGATGGCGTGCGTCAGGCACAGAAGGTTGATCACCAACTTGTCTATTAGATAAACAAATGATCATGAAGCAGATACAGAAATCTGAGGCCCTGATCTAAGAAGGATGTAACGCCATTTATTTTTTTTTAAGTGATAAAACTTACCGGATATCAATGATGCCCACTCCGTCAGTAATCACAGAGTTGTTGGCATTACACAGGTAGTAACGGACACACTCGCCTGGTGATGAATCGTCCATTTTACATGACACGGGCTTGTCAGTCGCAGCTGCAATTGACAAGAAAACATATATACTTTGATTTTTAATTCCGTAGAATTCTCACATCTCATAAGTGTTGCTACAAAAAAAGTTCTCCACCGAAAAAGGACTATGACTTATTTGAGGGCAATAAAAAAATATGCTACGTATTTTTTATGTTTTACCAACAAAAAGGTAAATCTAAATATTTACTTATTCAAGTGACCTAACACAAAAATGACAAATATTTCAATGTCACGAACAATATATCGAATTAACTTTAATTACTTTATTTTATTGATTAGCTGGCATCATTGCCTTTTAATTACATGTGTAGTAAACCTTTAAAAAAAATGTTATCAATACTTGTGTGTTTTTTACTGTTTGTGATGAAAATTAATTAATATATAATATATTAATAATATAGTAATTATTAAAGAATGTAAGTGCCTACGTCCAGTGATGGACTGATGAAAAAGGCAGGGGCAATATCGCAGCCCAAGGATACTCATTTTTAGAGGTTACGTTGCCGGCCTTTGAGGGAGGAGTACCTTCTAACTTTGAACAGTTGGAGGTCGTATCTTCCAGGGAAGACCCGATAAAATATAGAAATCAGCCGTTAGAGGTCTGGAGGCAACAAAGGAGGTGAGCCCAAATTATTTTCCAAATAAATGAAAAATGTTTTTCAATCAATAATTTATTGTAAAACCAAGTATTCTTTTAGTATTTAACAAACATATAATATATAAATATATCAAAAGAAAAGTTTTGTTTTAATTTAATTAGAGGCAAACGGGCCGGAAGCTCACCTGATGATATGATACCGCCGTTCATGGACACTCACATTGCGAGCCGCAAATGCATTGCCGGCCTTTTGACTTACCAATTTTGTAACTTAACGTAACTTTGCTTAGTCGGAATTTAAAACATTTTTTTCCAAAGTCTCTATCGTGGGATAAATCCTCCTCCCCCTCCACCCCTAACACCCCTACCACCTCCGGTCCTGGTCATTGGCAATATATCAGAGGGCTTGGGAATTTAAGGTACTTATGTCCTTGCTCACCTGGCTGGGTCACGGGTGGTACAATGGTTGACGGCGTGTTCGGGGTTGGACCGGCAGTGGGCTCGCCGAATATTTGCTTGATTACCGCGTCCAAGTCTCCAGACTTACTGTCCTGGCAATGTGCCAGGGACAGGACAGCGATCAGTACTAGTAATTTGTTCATCTGAAATTGAATAGACCATAATATATTAAATGTGGACCTTCGCGGAAGTATTTTACACATTTTAGGCTAATAAATGTCTATTGGCATGATAGGAGTATGCCAAAGGGTATGGAGCGCTCGATTCTTCAATTGAAACTAAAAGACAAAGTAAAAAAAGTTACATATACAAAAAGGCTAAAATGGAAATGGGCCGGTCACATTGGCCGCATTTGTGATGGCAAGAGAAAAAGACCCTTACTTGGAAGGGCGCAGTGGGAAAAAGAAAGAGAGGATGCCCACCAAAGACTTGGGAAGATGAAATAAAAGAGATAGCGGGAAAAAACTGGAAAATTGTCGCAACAAATAGGGACAAATGGAAGAATTTGGAAGAGGCCTTCACTCCGTCGGAGGTCGATTACTAGTGTAAAACTTATAAACATGGACGTAATGTTGTTATAGTGTATTCGAATAAAGGCTATTTTTATTTAATTTATTTAAATGTCCATTATGAAAAATGGAAATTTTTGCAAGAAAACGGCGTTTGTTTAAACTTTATCTCAACCAAATTTTTTCATCAATTAGATGTATTTGCGCGCTCTACCTTGGTCATGAATCGTTTATAAAAGATAGTGTTATAGTTTATCCTCTCAAATTTAAAAACGTTAACTAGGGTTAGGTAAGATGGAAGGAGTTCCTCTCCTTTGCTGTTTTTACAAGATACCACGAACCACATCGTGCAGGGATGTCAACAACAAAGGTGAAACTCCAGCGTGCTTCTAGATAATCATTAAATAAATATATGCTTTCTATGGAATATAAGACACAGGTATCACTTATTCCACGTCATTTTTGAATCGGTAGACATCCATACTCATCGGCTAAGAAGACAGAGTGTGTCGCCAAGAGAAAAAGCCGGCGTAAAAACTCTCGGTATTCTATTGAAATAGCAAATCATCAAACAATACTTATTTTAAAACAAATATCGAAAATTTATTAGAAGTAGCCTGTCTAGCACTATTTCCAGGCCCTTTTATCAACTAGATAAACTTTATAGTAAGCCTTTTTACACAGCTTTTCTTTAAAACATTTCTTAAATTTATTAAAAGGCAGAGATAAAGGAGCTTTTGGGATTCAATGAAAGAAAAGTATCCCTTTTCCCAAAAAAGAATTACTATCTTTAGATAGTCTAGTACGGGGAAATTGCAGCCTGCGTTTGTTCCGCGTATTAACATTGCATTAATACAAAAGCCTTTTAATTGTCACCGTACAATATATTTGGTCTACACTGTGTCCTAGCATTGTTTCTTCTAGCTCTCTCCACTTATTTCTATCCCAGGCAACTCCGAACAGCCCCACGCTGTGATTTGCAGATTATCTCCAAAGCCTGACCTATGCACCTTCTTTTTTTTCCAATCTCGGGGCTACTGTTGTGATTCTTGTACATTTATCGAGACTGGCCATTCCACATTTGTTATCATTCTGTCTTTGTCTAATAGGTGATCTTTTGGAATCCCAACATGCTTGTCCCCATTCCTGGTGTATCGAACGGGTAAATATCGTCTGGTAGTGGTCTTATGCTCCATGATCATCGATGTTAAAGCAAAACATCGATGTTGCTATACGAAAAATATCGTAACATCGATGTTCGATTCAGTTAACTCACGGCCTCACGCACGACCAATGGAACTTACGAAACAAATTATGTATTCTATGAGCGCATCCACAAATCAGGTTTGATTGAACGCGTATTCATTCTTTGCGCCCAAGTCATTCCCTTCGTTTGTTCTTCGTAGTCTCGCTAGCTCTTTCTCTTACACTTCCTACTCTTTATCAACAAAGAAATATATGAAAAGGTTATTCTTTATGAAAATTACTTTTCATTCAGTCGGTTGATAAAAAATATCGGAATATGTAATAATTCGTTCTGTTTCTTAATAAATTTCGAACCATTTCACTGTTTTATTTCTTTGTCAATTATTAATGCAACATTTTTTTTTATAGAACGGGGGGCAAACGGGCAGGCTCACCTGATGTTAAGTGATACCGCCGCCCATGGACACTCTCAATGCCAAAGGGCTCGCGAGTGCGTTGCCGGCCTTTTAAGAATTGGTACGCTCTTTTCTTGAAGGACCCTAAGTCGAATTGGTTCGGAAATACTTCAGTGGGCAGCCGATTCCACAAAGTGGTGGTTCGCGGCAAAAACTGCCTTGAAAAACGCTCAGTTGTGGAACGGCGGACGTCGAGGTGATACGGGTGGAATTTCGTATTCTGCCTCGACGTCCGATGATGAAACTCAGCTGTAGGTCCGAACAACTCCTCAAACTTTTATTGAATATTATTCAACATCGATGTTGGGCTTTCGATTATGACATCGATGTTAATATCGATGTTTTACATCGATCATCCCTAGTCCAGACTTAACGCAAACTATTACTTCCGTATATTTAAATAAATATAGACACACGACTATATCCATCCTATATTGACTTGAATATGTATCTGATTATTGACAAATGGTTCAAGGCAAAATCTTATGTAAACACTAACAATATGATTCGTTACGTCATTATTATCATTAAAATTTTCCTACTGAGTAACTTTATCATTCGTTTTTTACCTTTAACCTTCACCGGGACATTCCCTAACATTTACAGCGAATTGTTGTGGCCTTCTGACTTCAAAATGCTGATATTTGTTTGATTGATGCGGTTTTAATATCTATCACTCTTTAGATAAGGTCATAGCAAGGTCTTGGTGGTAATATTGCTATGCGATTTTTTTGTTTATTACAAACCGATTTAGAACCCAAAGTTAATGGCGATATACTAGCTTCTAAGGTAAAATTGAGAGTCGAGCATTATAAACTATTTACATCTCTTTCCATCACAGCGTAAATACGATTTGAAAGACACGAAAGAGTGCTTTAGTTGGAGTGCATAATTGTTATAAGAATTACTATAATTTTGATGATGGCGGAGAGTTTATTGCCAGTTCTTCTCTTCCGTTCTACGCCCTTGATTTGAGAACTGGTAAATGTAAAATTTGAAGCATTTAATTTCTTTTTGACGTTCATAAATGTACATTGTGTTACCTATATGAATAAACAAAAGTAACAATAGGGTGGCAGGGCTGGCAAAATGCCAAGGGCCCCCAACCCAAGAGATATTATGTTCTATGGATGAATGTGAAGTCTCCAATACGCATTGGGCTACCGTGGGGACTACAGACCATTCTCGCCTAAGAGAGGAGGCCTATGGCCATTAGTGGGACATATACAACGTGTAATACATTGAAAGTTTTATTAAAAAGCATTATCTAGTTAAATAAAGTTTTTTTTTTATTTATTGAAAAGTATATATTTAATAAATTCTATACATTGAAATAAATAACTAACCTTAACATAAACTAAAATATATTATTAAAAGGAGTCCCTTTAGGCATGGTTCCGAAGATACTGGCAGCGTTCCTCCTTTGAATCGCTAGACTAATTCTTTGTCCGAGGTAGCTGTCAGCCCTGCGATTCTGTTACTCACTTTTCGAACTCACACAGCGGTTTTCGCATCGGCGGTCGCTCTGAAATCAGTCGTGAAGCAGTCATTTTATGATTTGGCATTCTGAAAAGGTGGGAGCTTGTAGTTTATTGTCTATCAGAATGTCAAATCATAAAATGACTGCTTCACGACTGATTTGAGAGCGACCGCCGATGCGAAAACCGCTGTGTGAGTTCGAAGAGTGAGTTACAGAATCGCAAGGCTGATCTTCGGTATCCTATGATGTCGACTAACCTTTTTGATATTTCTTTAAAACGTGTAATTGAGTACGCTGAAAATCTCGAAGTTAAAATTAACTGAGTACGTGACTTTTACTGATAGGGCCCCATCAAAAGAATTTGCCACGGGCCCCAGATGATGTGACGCCACTGATGGTGGTTTATTTTATGAATTATACTTGATCACAATACAACGAAATTTTATTTAAAGGGTTTGAACTATAGTTAAACTACCAATGATTGTAAAGTTATCAAACTTGAACTTCCAGTATTATAAGGTTAACGATCTTTGATAATTGTATATTTATTTGTCAACAAATTATAATTTAAACTCAGTTTAATTATGTTATCACTGTTTATTTGTCCATATTCCATTGAAATGTCATCGACATATTTCAAATTAAATGTTATTTTGAGTTTTTTTGTTTTTTTTTGTTAATAATTTTTGCATTACTTGTACTATACCCTCTGTAGGTGTTTCTTTTTCATTTTTCCACTTTAGGGTTGCCTGGAAGAAATCGCTTGTTAGCGATAAGGCCGCCCGTTGCCTTATAACTTTTGTAACCTGTTTTTTTTTATTTTTGTTATGTGTATGTTTTTGAATAAGGTAATAAAGTATAAATAAATAACTAAATTTGAACTATAATCAAATTTTCGTCGAAGTTATAAGTAACATCTAATTACTCAACAAAATAACCACGTAATCTAGTTTTTAATCCGCCCAAAAATATTAATTTATCTATTTCTTAATAATTATTCTTATTTTTATTTACTATATACTATTACACAATACTTCTTTACTTACACTGCAAATTTTTACTATTATTATTTTTTCAACTAAATATTATTATAACTACATTTTCTTTTTTTGCGACTGTGGCGCAAACTAACTGTTATGGTTTCTGGCAGAATGACCAGCGCTGTGGAACAGTCTGCTCCTCAGCATAATGCTGAGCCTGGGCTAATAACAACCACAGAACACACGCATTACACACTAAAAACGTACCTTGTTCTTAGAAAGACAAATTCTTTAAAAAAAAATTATTACTATTATTTTGCGTGTTTCTGTGTGTGTGTGTTTGGTTAGTAATAAATGTTATGTCTATGTCTATATTGCGATACTTAATCGTTGAGGAAAGCACCAGCTTTGGGGTCATCGATATTATCAGGCGCCAACATAAATCTTTGATTAGCGCCTGCGCACCTGAACCCCACGGCCCAAGAGTCTCTACTCCAAAGGAAACAAAATCAA